ACACCCGTGTAATGCCACCCATCTTATAAAAAATCCTCTCAGGGCACCTGGGTGGCTCAGTCGGTTAAGTGTCTGACTCCTGAGTTCAGCTCAGGTCATGATCTCAGTCTGTAGAATCGAGCCCCGTGTTGAACTCTGTGCTTGGGATTATCTCTCTCCCTCTTTCTCTGCCCCTCCCCTGCTCTTGCTCTCTCTCAAAATAAGTAAGTAAACTTAAAAAAAAAAATCCTCCCTCAACTCTACCTCCTCCTCTACCACCACCCCATTTCTGTTATTCGTGAAAGCAAAACAATCAGGAAGAGTTTTCTAAACTCTGTCCTCCCACTTTCTCATAAACCCACCCATTCCAGTTAGGCTTTTGCCCACCCCACCTCTCTGAAAGCGCTTTCCCCAAGTTTGTAATCACCACACTGTGAAGTCCAGTAATTAATCTGCAGTTGAGCTTTCCACTTCTTTTTGAAACGAGTCTCTTACTTTAGCCTCCATTTAGTGCCTTCGTTCACTTTCTGCTCAATGACTGGTCCTCAGTTTCTCCTACCGGTTCTTTGTTATCTTTCCAGCCTCTAAATATTGGGCTGTCTCAGACCTTACATCTTCAAACTGCTTTTCGTCTCCATCTACACTCAAATTTCATGGCTTTAAATGCCCTCTGCATGCTGAATATTAAACTCCAAACATATAGCTGTAGCAGGCACCTCTCCCCGGACTCCACAATTCTACGACCAACAGACCAAAGCTGCTCCTCTCATATGCTACCCCATCTCAATAAACGGTAGCTCCATTCTAGTTGCTCAGATCCAAAACCCTTGTAATCATCCTAGATTCTTCTTTCTCTCACTGCGTAAATCCAAGGCAATCCACCAACAATCCTGTTGGCTCTACTTTTAACATCTATTCAGAACCTGGGGCGCCTGGGTGGCTCATTTGTTGGGCATCCAACTTCGGCTTAGGTCATGACCTCATAGCCCTTGAATTTGAGCCCTGCATCGGGCTCACTGCTGTTACCATGGAGCCTGCTTCAGATCCTTTGTACCCCCCTCTCTTTGGCCCTCCCCCGCTTGCACTCTTTCAAGAATAAAAAACAAAAACAAAAAACCAAAAAAACATCTATTCGGAACCTAACGTTTTATGAATAGCTCTACTGTTATCACTCCAGGCAAGGCAGGCTAGCCGGTACTACCGTATTACCCTCTCAGTCAGTCTCCCTGTTTCTTCCCTTGCCCGTCACACTCTTCTGTTCAATACAATAGTGATACTTTTAAAACATCAGACCGTATCATTCCTGTGCTCATACTGAAGCTAAACCTTTACCATGATCCACAAGACCCCAGATTAGTGCTTCTCCAACTTAAATGTGCATCTAGGGATGCTCTTAAATGGATTTTCAGATTCAGTACTCCTGGGATGGTTTTTATCTTGGATTTTTTTTTTCCTGATAAATTCCTAAATCACGATTCTAATTTGCTGGTCTGAAGGCCACATTGTGAGGAACAAGACTCTAGAATAATCTGCACCAAATCACATCTAACTTCTTTTTCCCTAGCTTACTCCACTCCAACCATATTGGCATTTTCCCACCCTCAGAGTCTTGGCACTGGCTTTTCTCTCTGCTTAGAAGGCCTCTGAGAATCTGCATAGTTCATGTCTTCCACTTTTAAGGTCTCTGCTCTAATGTCACTGATCTTTTCTGAACATCCAACATAAAATGCAGTTCCTAACCTGCGACACTGTATCTTGTTTATCTTGCTTACTTTTCTCCCTGGCACTTACAGCCATCTGACATCGTCCTTATTTATTTACTCCTTGTTGAGAACCTTGAGATGAATTTTGTCAACTTGTCTGTTGCGTTTACTGTTGTATCCCCAGTACCCAGAACAGTGCCTGGCATACAGCGTATTGTTAGTAAATACTTATTGAACAAATTAAATGATTTGATCTTGCAGAACTTACAGTTAGGGTACTAAACGCCAAAAGCGATGCAATTATTATAAAAAGAACTCTTAGAGTAATTATTCATTTAAAGAATGACGCATTATAATAGCTGAAGAATAATTTACTACATTGTGCAGCCTGTGCAACTGGTGATGCGTATGTCGACACAATACAGAAAAACAGTCTATCTCCACCATAGTGGATTCTGTTGACTTGCCAGCTACTGGTTGACCTCTACACTCTGCTTTCTTTGCAGAAATAGTGATATGTCTAGGTTTAGGGAGGCTCTTAGATAATAATATTTATCAATTTAGACAATCTGGGTAAATCCATATCCCTTACCAGTAATTAGTTAGGGAAATAGGCAAAATCCAATTCTGGCTAAGTCTGTTGAGAGGCTTCTGGTAAAGTTTTAAAAAAAGAAAGAAGAAAGGCAAAAGCGTAAGATTAAAAAAAAAATCACCTTTACTACCTCTGGACATCAGAGCAAGGAGCTGGCATCTAGCAACCCTGATGGCTAAGGGAGACAAGCTGGAGTTAAATTATCCAAGCTGCTGCATTAACCAACACTTCTTGTTGTAGGAAATAATAAATGAAGTACACTAGCGTCCCTCTCTTAACAGATGAGGAAACAGGTAGACAATAAGCAACCCGTCCAAGGTGAGAGTGGTAGAGCCAGGATTCAAATTCAGAGAGCGTGGCTCCAGAATCTTAATCTCTACTCTATATACCTCTGCCTCTCCAAAACAAGCTGGTACAAGACCACTTCCAGTAAGTACAGTGACATTACACGGTCTTGCTGCTAATGTATAAATTATCTTGTTCGTCTGCAGGTTTCAATGGGAAACTGCACTGTAGATATACTGTTCAGTGTTGTAGCTGTGTTTTTTTCCTTATGATTACTGCACATCCTTGGAAACAAGATATCTAGACTCTAAAAAAGTATTATCTGTGTCAAGCCCCACACATTCTGAGAAAGCTACGTTCTCCTAGAACTTTAAAATCCATCAGAACTTAATTTTGGCTCATGGTAAGAAGTACAGATCTAAAATAAGTTTTTCTCTAAAGAGTAGCTGTGTACACCAAGCCTCTTTTTTGAATGATTGAGAAAAGGAGGTCAATGTGTATACTCTATGTAATCCATCCCAAGCAATGCTAGGAGGAAAACAGTGAATAGGAAAGACACGTTCATCGCCCTCTCGGAGCTTAGTGGTGTAATGCAAAAGGCCAATAATATAATTACATGGGGGGTGGTTGTTCTGAAGCGCCAGGCACAGTAGCAGCTATGGAGTCTTACCTCTAAGCTGTGATGGAAGATGTCGGATGGACAGTACCTCTTGCACAACATACTGATTCACTCCTCCACTTTTCAACAACTCCTCTGGGGCTAGAGGGAGATGGAACTCATACATTTGGGGAGCCATCTTTCTGCCACTGGCTCACAGGGCTAGAAACCAAACAGCAAACAGGTCAAGGTCTATATCCAAGGCCTGTCTTTTTATCTGGTTCTGCTATTCCCCCGCCCTCCAATATATGACACTTATATCAAAACTTATACCACCGTGGTAACATTACCTTAAAAGGATGTGAGGCAACCCTGGACTAGAATCTAATTCTAGTTGTGACTCTGCTATTTGGTCATATCATGTAACCCCCTGAACCTCACCTGCACAACGGAGGTACCAATCTTTGATTATTTTACCAAGTTGCTCTGAGGATCAAATGAGTCAAAGGATATGAAAATGTTCAAGGAACATTTAAATATGCAAAGTGGTATATCAATGCATCAAGTTAGCATTTCCATTTTTATGGACAAAGCTTACGTACTGCTCACTCAAAGCTAGAGCAGTGGGCCAGCATGGGCTAGTGCGTGTCCTGGCGCCACAATGGGAGAGTATTAACATTTAACATCTATTTACTCGTGTCACGTTCTTATAAGACTATTTGAATATATCATATCTGATCTAGTTCTCCAAAAACCAATCTCATGGAATGCGTAATACTAGAACCCAATTTACAGATGAGGAAACTGAAGTTAAAAAAAGGTTAAGCGATTTGCCCATATTCCGTACGGATCTGTAAAACTGTTTCTACTGCATGTTACCGCCAGAACGTACGCACTGGAACTCCCTGCCTCTCGTATCGCAGCCTAATACCGCGTCATAGTGCCCCGTCCCCCGTCTTCCCAGTCTTTCACTCCCCGCTGCCCATTAACACCACACCTCGGAAAAGAACTTTACCCGCCGCTCCTCCGACTCAGGACGTAGGGCCGAAATGAAGGAAAAAAACAGGGCCTGCACAAGACGCACCAATCAGCACCGCGGCATTCAAGCGGGCAGAGAAACCGGCCAATCCCCGGCAGGCGGAGGTAAAAACCCGCCTCCGGGCCAGGCGCCGCGCGGGCAAAGCCACAAACGTAGAGTTCAAATCGCAACGGCCGCTAGGAGGCCAATCGCCTCACTCTCTGCAGTGACGGCCAATTACACCTCAGGAGCCAGGAAGTCGGCGGCGCCGCCGGGGCGGGGCGGGGCCTAGATCCCCTGCTCGCCCCACTTCCTCTGCGGCTCCCTGGTTCTGTTGCTCTAGTTAGGCGGTAATAGCGCCCCTGGGCTAGTGACCCATTCAGTCACCCCTCCTAGGGCGGGAGGCAAGTCCAAGCCGGGAGTTAGAAGGTTTAGGCTCTAATCCATGTTCCTCCATCTCCTCTGCTATGTGACGTCCAGCAGGTTACTTCACTCTCTGAGCCTCACATTTCCTCCCCAGTAGAAGAGGGGTAATAAAAACAGCTACAGCACAATACTGCTGTGAGACACAGAAAAAGGAGGCTTTGGGTTCCAGAGTCTGTACCTTCATCTCCCTCACAGTTGAGGGACGCCCCAGAAAAGGGTGAGTTTTCTTGAAATTCAGTTTTGGGGCGTCCTGGACTACGACGAAACGCATCCCTAAGGTCTTCCGACTCTTAAAGATTACGGCGCGCCAACCGGAAGCCCCGGGGCGGGAAGGGAAGGAGGGGTGTCAAGGCCTCTCTACACCGGAACCAGGAGGGCGGGGCTTGTGGCTGGGGAAGGAGGGGCAAGTCGGGCCTGGCGCTGGGAGATATCCGTGAGGTCAAAGATGGCGCCTTCCATGTAGTGTCCTGTGCCGGTAGTGCGGAAGGGCCTTGTCAGCTCCTCGGAGGCCACGTGTGGCCCTACTCTTAGGCTTGTGCGGTGTGCTGTTGTAGGACAGAGACCAGAGCAATGGCAGGGAGCCTCTCTTTGGGGGCAGGTAGGGTCCTGTGGGGCCGGGTGCCCCTATCCTGCAGAAGTTTCTCTCTGGGTAAGTGGCCGACGTAGAAATCGCCCCGAGAACTGCTTGCCAGTAAGCGGCTCAGACTCATTCCCTTTGTTCCCCATCCCTAGGTATTCCTGGAATGTTCCACGTAAGGCTCACCCTCCCGCCTCCCAAAGTGGTTGATCGTTGGAATGAGAAGAGGGCCATGTTCGGGGTGTATGACAACATTGGGATTTTGGGTATGACAGCATGGGATCATGGTACACAATTTCAGAATGGCAGTTCTTCCATAATGACTGTCTTTTTTTCACCAGTGTAGGAATGGTAATGTGCTCAGTAGTAAGAGCACACACTTAACATGCGTATTTTCGCTGTATTTGGCGCTGTTCTGAGTGCACTACATGTATTAATTTAATCCTTACAATAAATAAGGAAACTGAGGCACAGAGGAGTTAAGTGATTTTTCCAATGCAAATAAGTAGCAGTGCCAGAATTTGAACCATAAGCAGTCTGGCTCCAGAGTCTGTACTCTTCTTTTTTTTCTTTTTAATGTTTTTATTTATTTCTGAGAGAGAGAGAGACAGCGTGAGGAAGGGAGGGTCAGAGAGAGAGGGAGACACAGAATCCGAAACAGGCTCCAGGCTCTGAGCTGGTGTCAGCACAGAGCCCGACACAGGGCTGGAACCCACGAACTGTGGGATCACAACCCAAGCCGAAGTCGGATGCCTAACCGACTGAGCCACCCAGACGCCCCCAGAGTCTGTACTCTTGATCACGTAGGTGCAACTTGTCTATAAGTTCAGCTCAGGAAAATGCAACTGCATGCTAAAGGTTTAGCTGGTGGAGAGGCTGGGTTCCCTCTTGTCTTGGAAGTAACATCTTCTCTCACATTACACAGGAGACTTTGAAATGCACCCCAAAGAACTTATCAGGGGCCCCAGATGGCTTCGAGGCTGGAAGGGGAATGAATTACAACGTTGTATCCGAAAGAAGAAAATGGTTGGAAATCGAATGTTCCTTGATGACCTGCATAAGCTTAACAAACGCATCAGCTACCTCTACAAACACTTGAACCGACATGGAAAGCACCGGTAGAAGAAAAGCTGGGAAATGTGGAAGACACACATCTGTCACTGAGGGGGAAGGGGAACAGTATTTTTCCTTCTAAGGAAAAGGATTTGTATACTCTCTGTAATAAAATGGGGCTTCTTTGGAATCTGTTATGCACACACTTTATTTTACTCTAGATGCTACTTTTATTCATTCAGGTAGACTACAAACTCTGGCTCATCCCTAAGTCTTATAGTCTTAGGTTTGTACTTAACCACTTGCCCATTGCAGACTAGCCATACCTATAGCCTTTAAAAAAGAAAAGGGGTGCCTGGGTGGCTCAGTTGGTTGAGCGTAGGACTCTTAATTTCTGCTCAGGTCCTGATCTCATGGTTCATGAGATAGAGCCCGGAATCAGGCTCTGTGCTGACAGCGTGGAGCCTGCTTGAGAGTCTTTTGGCCCCTCCACTACGCTCAAAATAAATAAACTTAAAAAAAAAGAAAAACATTGTTGGTACTTTTGGGCTTTTCATGTGTTGAAAGTGGTAATTTTTAATTGCTATAATGCTGTTAAGTGTATTTTTGAAAACATTTTCACACTGGAATGAAGTGTAACATAAATAGAAATATGCTCGTTCATTATTATAATCAAAAACATTGGGTACCTTTTCTAAGCTGAGATATGCAGGAAAAATGTAATAGATAGCATGCTTTTCTAGTTAGGGGAGAAAGCTATATTTTCACATGTACACTTTAATATAAGGCATTGAGTATCATATGAATGGTTTGCATCTTAAGCCTGACTGATCATCAGAATCACCTTATGAGTTTCACAATTTCAAAAGCCTGGTCCCTGGCCCCAAAGATTTGTGATTTGTAGAGCTGAGCTGAGTCTTGTACATCTACTTTTTTAAAAATACATTTAAAAAATGTATCCATACATACAATGGAAAAATTTTAAATTACTAAAGGGTAATCAGGTGAAGAGTTTTTCTCATGGCCTGTTATTTTGTGCTTTGCAGAGGCAACCACTATTCTTTTTTATTTTTTATTTTTTAGTCCTTTGGATATAAACAGTACACGTATACTCACGTATTAACTATATATCTCCTTTTGAAAAGAGGATTCTATACACACTGTTCTGCACCTTGCTTAGTCACTTAATACAACTTGGATTATTTTGTATCCTCACATTCTATACCATAATAATTTCACTAGTTCCATTTTAATATTTAGATTGTTTCCTGCTTTTTACTTTTCCACAGTATGACTCATAATTTTAGACAATTTTAATTGTAAAATCTCAGGTGATTTTAATTAGCCATGTTTAGAAACCACTGGTATGGAGATAAATGATCTAGATAAGAGATTGTATTTGGCGTAATCGGGAGAGGTTCCTAAAAGATGTTGGATTTCAGTAAGGAAAGAAAGAAGTGGTAGAACATTTCAAGTGGGGAAGAGGAGTGATCAGTGGTGCATATGACGCAGCAATTCCACTCTTAAATATATACCCACCTGAGATGAAAATATGTCCATACAAAAAGTGGTACATAAATATTCATAGCATTGTTATTCATAATAGCCCAAAAGAAAAAACAACCCAAATATCTATCAACTGATAAAATGTATATTCATGCAATGGAATATTAGTCAGCCATAAAAAAGAATGAGGTACTGCTACATCTAACAACATGGCTGAATCTTGAAAACACTGTAATAAATCAAAGAAGTCAGTCATAAAAGGCATGTATTTATATGAAATGTTCAGAATAGGCAAATCTACAGAGAGTGTGGCAGGGTCCCCACCCTAAGGAAATAGAAAAACAAAAAAAATCTCAAGGTAACCTGGCTATGCACGTATGCGACAACATCCCTCATGACCTTATAACATGAGACCACTTAATCAGACTGCATGTTTGTGGTATTACCATATGTGGGAGACAAAAAAAGTAGAAGATATATTAAAATAATTGAGCCCACATGGCATTCAGGGCTCAATTCTTTGCATATGAACCCAACTGAGCAGTGCCGGCAGGAAAAAAGTTGCTTCCTGGAAAGAAAAGCCTCTGTGTGCGAGAATCCTGCTACAACAGAAGGTAGGTTAGTTGTTGCCAGGGATAGGATAAGGGATAAGGGATGAGAGATGACTGGTAACAGATGCAAATCTCTTAGGGATGATAAAAAAAAGTTCTGGAATTAGCGGTGACGGTTGCACGACCTGTGAATACACTAAAAAAACAAGTGTATGCTAACTGAGGGAATTCTACGGTATATGCATTATGTCTCAATTTAATAAATGGTGTAGGAGACTTGATATATTTCTAAACTAAGCTTTATTTAAAAAAAGAAAGTAAGGGGCACCTGGGTGGCTCAGTCGGTTAAGTGTCCGACTTCGGCTCAGGTCATGATCTCACGGTTCGTGGGTTCGAGCCCCATGTCGGGCCCTGTGCTGACAGCTCAGAGCCTGGAGCCTGTTTTGGATTCTGTGTCTCCCTCTCTCTCTCTGACCCTCCCCTGTTCACTCTGTCTCTCTCTCTCTCTCTCTCTCTCTCTCTCTCAGAAATAAATAAAACATTAAAAAAATCAAAGTAACATGCATATAGTTAATCAAAAAGAAGGGAAAGTTGTGTGACAAAAACAGTCCCCCGCTTCACCTTTCTACCCTCCAAACTAGCTTCCCAGAATGAAAGACTTTCACTTCTTTGAACTATTCTGGTATTTATTATCATAATTTGAAAAAATATGCCCTGCTCCTCTTTGTGATTTATCAGCTTTAGACTTTATTAACTTCCTGTTATGTAAGGTGAAGGTTTTAGCTCAATGATTTTAAAAAAAGAAAACCTGTTAAACTGGGAACAGAAGGAAATTTCCTTAACTTGGTAAAGATTATGTATTAGAGATCAACACCAAATATTTAATAGACATGCATTCCCTTTAAGATCCGTAATAAGACATATTATGCTAAACTAAATAAGTCAGAGAAAAACAAATATATTATTTCATTCATATATGGATTTTAAGAAACAAAACAGATGAACATTGAGCAGGGAAGAAAAATAAGACAAAGGCAGAGAGGGAGGTAAACCATAGGAGACAAATACAGAGAACAAACAGAGTTGCTGGAGGGGAGGCGGGTGGGAGGATGGACTAAATGGGTGATGGGCATTAAGGAGGGCACTTGTTGGGATGAGCGCTGGGTGTTATATGTAAGGGATGAACCACTGGGTTCTACTCCTGAAACCAATACTATATGTTAACAAAGTTGAATTTAAATAAATAAATTTTTTAAAAGAAAAAAAAAGATCAGTAACCAGACAAGGATGCCTACTATTATTGCTACACTTAGTATTGAACATCCTAGTCAATGTTAAGAAAGAAAGAACGAACAAAAGAAAGAAACAAAGAAAGAGAGAGAGAGAAAGAAAAGAGAGAGAAAGAAAGAAAACAAAGAGTGGAAATGAGGATCAAGAGAAAAGAGATCAAATTGTGATCATTTTTAATGTTTATCAAATTGTAATCATTTACAAATTACATGATTTTTCATTGTCTAAAACAAGAATCTTTTAAAAAATATTTAATGTTTATTTATTTTGAGGGAGAGAGAGTGTGAGCAGGGGATGGGCAGAGAGAGGGAGGAAGAGAGAGAGAATCCCAAGCAGGCTTCACACTGTCAGCGTGGCTCTCAAACTCACAAGGTGTGAGATCATGACCTGAACCGAAATCAAGAGTTGGACACTCAACTGACTCAGCCACTCAGGTGCTCCTAAAATAGGAATCTTTAAATTTTGTTTATTTATTTTGAGAGAGAGAGAGCGAGCGAGCGCACACGTGTGCATACATGCACGCAGGCAGGAAAGGGGCAGACAGAGGGAGAGAGAAAATCCCAAACATTCAGTGTGGGGCCCTACTCAAGGGCTTGATCTTATGAACCGTGAGATCATGACCTGAGCCGAAATCAAGAGTTGGACGCTTAACAGGCTGAGCCATCCATGTGCCCCTAAACCAGAATCTTTAAAACTTATATCTGGGTGCCTCTGCTAGCACAGAGTCTATTTAGGATTCTCTGTCTCCCTCTCTCTCTGCCCTTCCCCTGCTTGCATGCACCAAAATAAATAAATAAACATTAAAAAAACAAACATAGATCTGAGTGGGGCAAAGAAATAGAATGAGATTTAAAAACATGTATGTAAATTAGAAAAACATGCACAGAAATAGCACACATTTTGCAAAAACAGAATTATAAATCTCAAACAACTTCTAATATTTATGGCTCAGGAGGGGCATAGGGGACAAAGGAAGAAAAAAATGAAACAAAATATCTTTTGATGGATAAAAATCATGTGGTCTCTCAGAAAAACAATAATCTATTTTTGTCTTTAGGATGATTCTTATTCTCTTTTTTAATGTTTATTTTTTGAGAGAGACAGCGTGATCAGGGGAGGGTCAGAGAGAGAGGGAGACACAGAATCTGAGGCAGGCTCCAGGCCCTGAGCTGTCAGCACAGAGCCCGATGCGGGCCTCAAACCCATGAACTGGGAGATCATAACCTGAGCCAAAAGCTGCGTAACCCACTGAGCCACCCGGGTGCCCCTAGGGGGATTCATACTCTAAGAAACATTCACATTTATTTACTTCTGTTGGTTTCTTACATTTATCAGTTTTTTAAAAATAACAAATGGAATTTTACGAACCCTTAAGTACCTTTTGGTAGTCTCAGATCTACTACATAGTCATGTATAATGAATATGTAAAGTATATGTATAATGTTTGTTGCTGGTTTGGGATACATGACATAAAGTAGTTTAGGATAGCTACACGTGCTCGTTTTCTGGGGCTTCCATAACAAAATACCACAACTTTGGTGGCTTAAGCAATAGAAATGCATTGTTTCACATTTCCAGAGGCTTAGAAGTCTGAGATCAATGTGTCAGCAGGGTTGTTTCTTATGAGGGCTGTGTGGGAAAATCTCTTTCATACCTGTCTCCTAGCTTCTGGTGGTTTGCTGGCAATCTACAGTGTTCCTTGTTTTTTTCTTTTTTTAACGTTTATTTAGTTTGGGAGAGAGAGTACAGGTGGGAGAGGGGCAGAGAGAGAGGGGGACAGAGGATATGAAGTGGGCTTTCCCCGCTGATAGCAGCAAGCCCAGTGTGGGGCTCATACTCAGGA